CTGTTCAGCTATTAATGCTGGGATCTGTATTAAGTTTTATAAGCTTTTCCCTGTTTTTAGTTTTGTTTTGGGTTTTAGGCTCATTAATTTTATTTGTTTGTCGATAAGAAATGTAAGAGTGGTATGTTAATAAATTTCAGTTTAGTTCTGTAATGTCAAGAATTTAAAAATTAAAAAATGGATTGTTAAAAAAAAAAGTAAAAAAGACAACCCAAGGAATGGGATAAAATATTTGCAAATCATGTATCTGATAAGGAACTTGCATCTACAATATACAAAGAATACCTACAACTTAATAATAAAAAGACAAATAGCCCAATTGAAAAATGGGCAAAGAAGTAATTGGCAAAGGCTCTTAATAGATATGTCTCCAATGAAAATACACAACTGGCCAGTAAGCACATGAAAATATGTTCACCATCATTAGCTAGCTAGAAAACGCAAATCAAAATGACAATGAGGTAGCGCTTCAAACCCACTAGGGTGGCTATTAACAAAAAAGACAATAACAAGTGTTGACAAGGCTGTGGAGAAAATAGAACCCATACACACTATCTGTGGAAATGTAAAAATGGTGCAGTCACTTTGAAGAACCAGTCTGGCAGCTTCCCAAATGGTTAATTACCATCAATCCTTCCGATCACCTGGGTGAAGCTTCACACATACCAGGTTCCTAAAATGGCCAACAGGTTATCAAGCAAGGTTGGCCTCCTCTGGTCTCCACACTCCTCTCTGAGGCAATCTCTTCTCTAACTTCAGACCCTCTGAACTGTATTTCATCCACTGAAACACTTGTTTTCTCTCTATATTCGTTCTCCCCCTGACAGATCTAAAGTTGTCTGATTCTTCTCCCCATTTCCTATGCAGTCTTCCTCCAGAGTCCATGGGCTGCATCTCTTGCCCACAAGAGGAGCTCCTGTTACAACGCTGAGTTCAAACGCCTCTTTTTCCACCTAGAAGTAAGTCAACCACCTCATGGGAAAGTATGTAATTGGCCTGTGCTGTAGATAAAGACATATCCATCTTTCACATCTCATACACCATCAGCCACAGACAATCATGGTCTAAATGCTTAAATGGGTGAGAAACTAAAGAATCAAAGAAAAGGTGATATCTGAAACCTTAGATTGCAAAAAGTGGCAACAGTGGGCTTCTGAAGGAAGGTAACCTCCAAGAAAGGCTATCAGTCCACCAGAACAACACGGTCCTGACTCCCTAGAGAACTGCAAGATTTTATAGTCTTCTTCTGGGGAGATGCTCCATTTCCCAGATGGCGACTAGACCCTACTGCAAGCTAAGAGGAAGCAATAAAACTTTTGTTTAACTTACCTCTGAAACTCAGCCCATCCAGGGCAGTGGTGCCTAGTGCATTTCCCCTGCGGTGCTCACTCATTGTGTCCAGAGGCACAGGTCTTGCTTAAAAGTCAATGCCTTTCCGGCTAGCCCTCAAACTTTCTTAAAGTTAGTAAAGAAAGAGGCTGACTGCCTAGTCCAAGAAAGTAGGGATCACAGATACCTCTTCATTTGCCATTCAAAGAGTTACTGCCTGCCTATCAGAAAACCAAGCACTACACACAATCCTGGGAACTGGCAGGCACAGGAACACACACTTTGAGCATATCTTCAGGTTTTCTAACAAGACCATAATCCCCATCTGTCCTGGCACTTGTCTGAGAGGCAGGACAATGAACAGGAGGCAAAGAAAACGAGACCTCTCATTCGAGCACCATCATTAGCCAACGGTGCTGGACAATGAGCTACATCTTTTGCTGTGACCATAGGCAACCTAATCCTCCTATCAGGGCCTCCATTTCTTCGTGTATCAAAGAAGGGACCCAAAGTCCCTTCTGACTAGCTGTAATATTCTTGAGTCTCAGACCTCAGTTCTCTGTAGACAGGATGCTTTCTAGTGAGAAGCTGCAGGACAAAAATCAAGGACTGACTTTCAGGCAGGGACACAGGGTTCACATTTTGATGACCCAGTTTCCCTTGCAATGTTGTCAGATGACCCCTGAGGCAGCAGGAAACAGAAGGAACAAACTCTGCTGGACTGTTGAACCAAAGCAGCTCCAGAGGTCTAGGCTTTAAACTAGTGGTTCTCCCTACCCTGGTCAGGACCTGCACCTCAGTGAGGTTACTGAACACAGTAACTTGCCAAAAACCAAGAAATCAACAAAGACCTCACCATAAACATGTTCATTTCCGTATTAGATGTAAAGATCTAAAACCCTGGCTCAGACAACAGCTCATCAATCTCCAGCCAGAGGCTCTTCTAGTAAAGCAAAGCAAAAAGTCTTGCTGGCCTTGGGTCCCTTTGTCATCATTTCGTCTTGGGGGCAATTTCAAGTGCTCAGTAAAGTCAGGGAGCCTAAAGAACTGATATCCACAGGAAACTCAAGCCATGCTTCTTTTTCCTGATTCCTACTTTTAGTTGGTGAAGTTGGTATTTCAGGTCCTTTTACTTCCTCTGCTTATTTCTGGTGTAGGAACTCACAATGAAATGGTCAGAATGCAAACAGAAGTGGTTGGAAGAGAAAGAAGAAAGACCCCAAACAAATAAGACACAAAGGCCTCCAGCTCAAACACTGTGCTAGGCTCCAACTTCCTAACAGGAGCTGTTAGACAATCTCAAAGAACCCCAAGGAGTCAGGGAACCTCTTTCTCATCCTAATCACCATCCCTTATCACACCCTTTATGAGCATACAATAGAAAGCTCAATTTAACAGAGAGTAAACATCTTTGACAGGAACACCATAGGAGAATTCAGGAAGCCACATTATTTCTACTATGAATAGTCCTCATAAGCAGGCATCACCTTCTCTCAAATGGATACATTCTCTCTTCTCCCTAATCTAGGAAGATCCTAGTAAAGTGTTTGTGGTCCAAGGAAGCCTGTGCTTCTCCAGTTGATACACCTCATTCAAGAAGAAAAAAATGGAAACCCAGGAAGGATTTCCAGTCAGTGGTAAGGAGGTCTAGAGGATGGGGAAACTTTGAGCAGCCACACCAACCAAACAACTAGAAGAGGAATATCCAGGCAGGCCAATGCCACTTGCCCTGTCAAACTGGACAGTGAGCTCGGCAGTCGATATAAGGAACGAGGGAGGAAACAAATGCAACAAACGAGGTGAGATGAGAAGAGAGGAAGAGGGAATGAAAGAGATTCCACCCCACCCAGGCCTTCCCTCTGCGCTCCAGGGGCTGCCTGAAGCCAGACGCAGGAAGCTTGAGGGGCTGGAGGGAAGGGGAGGAGGCGACGGGATACCACCATCGGAGACACCAGGCCTCGCGTGCCACGCGAGGAGGCACACCCAGCCCGGACGACGTGCGAGGGTGGGGTGGGCGTGCTAGTGGTTTGGCCAGGGTTTGGAGGCGTCACTGGCAGGGCCCGCGGGGCGATGGCCTGGGGTTGCG